TATATTGATTCTTTCTTATGGAATGACTGGTAAGTTTATTCATTTTAATAAATTGCTATTTTTAAAATGAAGCTAATATATGCCAGAGCAGGGAAACTGAGCCAAGATCAAGCAATTTCCAAGAAGTATGGAACGGTCTTAGCTCTGCATCTTTTCCCTGCAAGTCAGCATTCTTGCTTCCTCTGATTAATAACCCTCTATCACTATCCATCCATTCCCATAGATTACTGCCGTTCTGTTTTCAAAACTCAGCTTGCTTCTAAAGAAAAACCCTTCACTGATTTTAAAGACACAGTAGATTGAGAGCCGACAGTTCTGCATCTTATTATGATAGGGAATATACACTCATACTGCGTCAAACACAGCGTTTACATGGCACGTTCCAGTTGGCAGGCACGGAGAATGACACATTCATGGCTGAAGCTGAGAGGAGCATACTGCCTTTTGAAATCAAGTCCAGCGGTGAAGTCCACTCTTACCTCCCTTAAGATTGTATTTGTAACATACAAGTGAAATTTAGTCTAACAAGGATGAAGATTATGTGAAGGCAAGAAATGAATTCCCTGGTTAAGTCCTGACCATAGACACAGAATTAAACATTAAATGATGGCACCTTAAGAAAATGAAGATCATAAAATATTCTTAATCTCTGTAAAACCATAGAGCATTGATTGTGCTTACATAACATTCTAAATTTCCCAATTTTAGTTAATGTAATCAAACCCCCATCACAAATCCCTCCTTTATATTAACCATGGTCATAGAAAGCTTGCAGTTTGTAAGTACAACTGTAACTTCGACACGGCATCCTTAGCATTTAATCATGCTTTTGCAAAGTACCAGTTGTAAGTAAATTAATTTTGACCAAGGATAACTGCAGACTGTGGGTTAGATGGCCCTGATGTCTAGGCCCACCACATACATCACAGCATAAGTTTCTCTGTGATAACAGGAATTGTCCTCTTCACGATAGTTGATGCTGATTCTTCTTTATTGAAATGAAGACTGAATAGCATCCTCCCTCCCACGTGCCCCACCCCTTTTTCAAAAACTCTAGCACCCGCTTGAAGCAGCAGAACCGTGGAGTGTGGAGTCAATTAGAACTAGAAGCAAGTTCCAATCCTGATCTTTGCCAGGTACTACTTAGTTTAGTGACCCTGAGCAAGGACGTCTAATTTTCTATGTCAGGAATAACAAGTACGGTGAAATTAAACTGACACACAGCCTGATGCCTGGAAGTTAGTCTGTGAAAATGTGTTTCTAGCCCTCTCTGCTCTTCTCTTTCCCCCTCCCATTCTTTATATTTTGAAAGGATTAAAAGGAACCTTTTCTATGAAGAACTGAGTTGGAATTTTAATGAGGATTACATTGAATCTGTAGATTGCTTTAGGCAAGATGGCCATTTTTACTATATTAATCCTGCCAATCCATAAGCATGGGAGATCTTTCCATCTTCTGAGATCTTCTCCACTTTCTTTCTTCAGAGACTTGAAGTTCTTGTCACACAGATCTTTCATTTGCTTGGTTAGATTCACACCAAGGTATTTCATACTATTTGTGACTATTGTGAAGGGTGTGGTCTCCCTAATTTCTTTATCAGCCTACTTATCCTTTGAGTAGAGGAAGGCTACTGATTTGTTTGAGCTAATTTTATATCCAGTCACTTTGTTGAAGTTGATTAATGTCCAATAAAATAATTAATTTCAAAAAAAGAAAGAAACCTTTTTTTCTCATAATGATATTTAATAGCTTCAAGTTACTAAGTGCCCAGCATTTGCCATTCATTATACTAAACAGTTTATCATCTCCAGCTCTCACAACATTCCTTGTAGAAGGGAAATAAGATTCAGGAAAGTGTTCCTTTGATTTATCCAAGGCAACAAACCTCTGGCCTACATTAGTGACCACAGCTGGAGGGAGGAGAGAAGGAGCTAGAGGCCATAGTTAAGACACTACCTGTCATTAATCTCAGTGCAAAATTGGGATTCAAGCTCAAACAGATCTGACTCCATTAACCCATGTGGCCACTTAAATTGTCTGGCTTTGAGAAGAAAAACTAAACGCTCTAACTCCAGAGAGATACAAAGGTCTGTCAAGCTCCCAACACACACTGAATTTTAACTTCACGTAACCAAGTTTTGTCTCCTACTTTTTTCAGGGATAGCATAAATATATATAATTACCAAAATTTAATGTTTTAAATGTTAATTATGATCCCCTTAGAGTATTGTTTTAGGGGCTAGTTACAATATAATGTTTTTATAAATATAAACTTCCAAAAAACAGCCCATCCAAAACATGGTTGAAAATGAGCCCCACATGAGGTAAGTGCAGGGCTCTCTTCTCACCACTGGACAGCGTTTAGCTTTCCTGGAAGAGAGTCTTAGAATAGGCCACAACGTTTTGTTCAGTGGACACAGTGGTTGACAGTAGTTTTGTTATTCCTTCCCAGGAAACATGTTCAGGAAGCAGAAATCAAATCTCATTTGAAATCTTTGTATCTAGGGTTGTACATTATAAAACTAATTAGTTACTAAAAATCTATTCTGATAAAAACGACCCAAAGTCAGAGAAAAGTGAATATATTTTTGTCCTGTTATTTTTTAAATCTTATTTCTATTCATCTTTTCATACTAGAAGCATGTGACAATTCAACTTTTCTATCATGTCCCAAGAGTTACACAGAAAAGAATTATACAATGTTGCTTGTAGGAGAATTTTACAACTAAATTTAGCCACTGTTTTAATTTCATTTTCTAAAACTTAGGAGTTTATACATGGCTGCTACTTGTGTGTTACACAATACAATTCTATCCATACCTCATGACTCAAGAAATACAAGTCAATAGAAAATCGAAGAATCACCTACTAGCCATTTCTGGGCCCTAAGGAAAGAAAGATGCTAAGGTTCTAAAAGAGAACCACAGCAACGGAGAAAGTGGGGCAAGGAAGGGCAGAGTAAGGCACACATACTACGTATTCAGAACTGTACTGACAGATGCTTCTTCTTCCAACCTATAAAAGTTAATAGGAAATATAAAAGTGTGCTTAGTCTCCAAATGTGCATGTTTTCTTACATTCACTGTGATAGAGATGATGCTAGACGCTAGCTACAAAGTACAAATCCTCCAGAACATTAAAACTTTGTAGGTTCATAAGGGAAACTTGGGCTGAGGATGACGCTGCACACCTGTAACTGTCACACTCAGGCAGCACAGGAAAACATGGGTTCAAGGCCAACCTACTTCACCAAAAGAGCTCCAGGCTGACCTGGGTTACAGAGTGAGACTCTCAAAAGGAGTTTTAAAATATTAGGTATAAGGTAAAAGTCACACAATCTGTCAATCATGGGCCCTCTTCTCCTCTGTGTTTCAGGGCTCCTGATGGCACTAGCCTCTTCCACTGAGCCATGAAAGACTGGGGAATAAACCTGGAATTAGCAATGTGCAGCGCGGATGGTTTTGTACTGCCTGCTTCCTCTGTCTCAAAAGCCCTTTCTCCTGTACTATCTACTTCCACCCTGGAAGTCACCCTTTCCGCATCTCTGGATGCTCGTCCCTACACATACTTGAGATCTCAGTTCTGCTCTTGCATGATCTATTAAACCCATCATGGTTTTCTCCATAAGCCGGCAGTCTCTTTCCAAGCCCAAACTGTGGCTTGTTCAGCCACTAACACAGCAATGTGACAGCATAAGTTAAAATGAACATGTTTTTTTAAAAGTCTGGCACTCTCAGCATTTCAGAATGGTATCTGATTTGGAAATCCAGCTAATATGGATAAAATTAGTTAACATAGAATCACTCTGGAATAGGGTGACCCCTAATCCAATATAACTGATGTCATCAGAGGGTTGCCTTGACTAGCTGAGAAAAGGAAGAAGATCAGTAGGTATAGGAAAGGGGATATGACAGGGTAATGTTGGGTGAATGTAGGCAAAATTCATTATATATACATATGAAAATATCAAAGGAACCATATTATGTATAATATATGCTAATGAAAATGTTAGAATGGACATAGTAAACTAGGGCCTTTTTTTTTGAAGTGAAGACAGACACACAACAGAGAATGCCACATGACAGCAAAGGCAGAAACAGTAGTTCTGTTAGTCAAGGAACGGCACAGATAACCAGCAGACCACCAGACCCTACAGAGAGACTCAGAAATCAAATTTTGAGGAAGCAGGGCCTCGCAGACTCCTTGGATCTGGACAGCTAACCTCCAGAACTGCAAGACAAAGTGTTGTTTCAAAGCAAGCAGGATGTGCCCAAGTATGATGCACAGTACATTCAGATGGAGGGCCTGACAGGATTTTCCCCATCTTTGAAACAGGAGTGTTTTATTCTCACTTTATATTTCTTTCTTCTCGCCTCATTCTAAGCAATGTTCTTTTCTCTACATTCATCTGGACTATAATTATATATATTTTCATCCTTGTGTTAAATCGGAATGAAAACTTATCTAGTATACAAATCTGATAGCCAGGACAGAAAAAGGAGAGGTACTAGAAAACTTTTGTTCTCAAGTGCATGTTGTCTTTGGCTGTGCACTGGGGCAATCTCTGGTTTCCTGACTATAATCTGTCATTTAGTGTAAATTCCCTTTGGTGGTCAGTAGCTCAGATTCTGTCTTCAAGATCTGGGATCAAATCCAATCTGCCACTGGACAGCTTAGGTAAATTGTTTACTCTGCCTCAGTTTCCCCATCTGTCAAAACGAACGGAAGTGTCAATTTTCTGAATTGTTACAATCATAATGAAATGTCTTAAAGCTCTTAGGATAATTCATATGGTAAGATCTAAATAGAAGTTGGTTGCTATGGGCAAATAAAACCTGTACACCTTAAATCAAAATCAAATTATTCATCATAGACCTATTGTGGAAAACATATCTTAACATCCTGCTAAATACCAAAAGAAAAGGTGAAATTCCACCTTCCACAGAAACAGGGTTCATTGGTAAGACAAAAGGGTCACTTTTTTCTTTTTCTTCAAATAGGCCAAAAAGAGAGATGAGATTCTCCAACTTTTAAGGAAACAAAGGGAAGAGAGGATCGCGGTAAGAATGCTGGTGGCGCTCTGGATAGCTGTCTGATGGCACGGATAGTCTGTGGCGAATGCTCAGGGCTTGGCAGACTGGCCCTTTAAATTGGTACTCTCATGCCCTGAGTCTTCTATGCATCGAAGACTGGGAAAACATGGAAACTAGATAACTGGACAAGTCATAGGCCGAGACATCTCCAGAAGTTTGCAACCCCAGTGGCGGAAGAAAGAAGGCATAACTGTCAGGGAATCTATTACTCACATAGTATTAAGTTGTAGGCTATTAGCATGGGCTACTTCATGGCTAATGATTTTATAATGGTTGATCTTTGTAGACCATAAATAAGAAGAATCAAGTGAGTAAAACCTTTATAAAATAACTCACTAGAAACACATGGATGATCAAATGTGCATTCCTGAATGAGCCTCAAATTCTAGTCTGAATATTTCTTCAGAGAACAGTTTTCAGATGTAAGAAGCTGGTCTTTCTATACTCTGATGGTTTTTACCTTAGGCTGTTTTCAAATTAATAAATTTCACAAGTGAACATTTTCCTTTTTTATATTTTTCTAGAAAGAACTGATTTCATTACCTTATAAACCTAAGGCCAAAGTGCCCAAATCAAAGTAAGTCTACTTCCAAAAACATCCTTGTCTTTTTACTTAGTGTCTTTAAAAAGAACTTTTTGTTTGTCTCTTACCAACAAATCTTTTAAAAGCTCACACCACTGTGTTAGTGTTTTCTTGCCTTAAAGAAGCATAGTTCTTACTGTCCTCAAGCACATCTATGAGATGTGCACTCCTGTGTGGAAGGGTGGGAAGCAGGTACCAGAGCCTCTGTGTATTCTCACTATCCCCTCCCCGGGGGTGGGGGGTGACATTCTCGCCTGCCTTCACATCCTCCCAGCTCCACCTTCCCAGGATTACCCTGCCATCTTTAGTTCATCACTAAGTCTTCTAGATGACCAGCTCTGACCCCAGCAGTAATGTGGCATCATTAGCCTGTCAGTGATGAGATATTGTTAGAAAGGGACCGGAAACATATTATGGAAACATATTATGGAAGAATCTGTGGAAACTTAACAGGGCTCTGAAAAGTATTCTCTTCTCTTGCTATATTCAGAGAACAACAGTTGCAGAGGCAATAGAATTTTGACTTCATCGATATTGAGGCTGACTCTTTTTTTTTTTTTTTTTGGTTTTTTTTCGAGACAGGGTTTCTCTGAGTAGCCCTGGCTGTCCTGGAACTCACTCTGTAGACCAGGCTAGCCTCGAACTCTCGAACTCAGAAATCCGCCTGCCTCTGCCTCCCAAGTGCTGGGATTAAAGGCGTGCGCCACCACCGCCCGGCTAAGGCTGACTCTTTTAATGTCAGCAGACATCCTCAGAGAAGAGTGATTTTTGTCTACATAGATTTTTAGAAATCAATTACCTGGCTACATTTTCTACACAAGGCTCCACAACTTAATTTCTTGGTTAAGTGAGATGACTTGGCTTACTTCCTGTAAGTGAAGGAAGAAACCTAAAGGGAAGATTTTCTAACTGGCCTAGATGGCAGATAGAGACAGCCACCTGAACAGCACAGATACTGAATACTGTGTTACTATCATTGTTGGTTTGCATACATGTTCAATATTTTACAGCTTAAACAGATAACTTTTTAGTGAATGAATGAGTTTAGTGGGATTATTTACTAGAGCAAGGGTGATTTAGAAGTAACTATACCGGTGAAATTAAGTCCTATCTCAAGTCAGCTTTTTGTTATTTGTTTTTCGAGACAGGGTTTCTGTGTAGTCCTGACTGTCCTGGACCTTGCTCTGTAGACCTGGCTGACCGCAAACTCAGAAATCTGCCTGCCTCTTGCCCCTGCCTCTGCCTCTTGAGTGCTGGGATTAAAGGTGTACAAACCACATCTGGCTTTCCAAACAAGTTTTATTCCTCTTATAGAATTTAGCATTTGGGCCTGAGGGAGTATTCCATAAAATCCCAGAAAAACTTTTATAAAGGTCTCCTAAGGGTCTTCCAATCTCCTCCCTATAAAAGTAAATGTTAATGGCCCCGTTATCATAGACCTAGCTACCTGCTGGGTAGATTATTTCATTTCTATGATTCAGAGTAATGTTAAGAAGATAATTTTAAAATTTAAATCCTCGCTTAATTTTTTTATAATATATTCTCAGTAATCCTGAAGCCTGGGTTTTTCTCCATTCCACAGTGAAATCTCCCTCTGAACTTAAAGGTCCTGTGTGTACCATCCTTTTAGCAATCACACATTCTGTGCCTGTAAATACATTGTAAGCTCCATGAGAATTTGGATTACCCAATTTAAGTGTGTATATTAGGATTCAGAATATATTTGGGTTTTTTTTAATATGGAATATATAATTAAATATTAGCTAACTTGGAAATTAATGTCCCTATACTGTCCATTAACTTATATACAAACATTTCTTAAATTTTGTAAATACTTTTCTCTCCATCTTGTCCATTCTGCCCAAAACTCCTACACACGGTGATACAGTCTTATAATCTCTCACTCAGACCTTCTCAGGATAACCTGTGTCCTTCCCAGCAGAAAGTAAGCTAGTAATGATGCTTGAATAGTGGTATACTTATCACCCTGGTGATAGTTTCACTTTCAAAGAGGACTGAGTAAGGAAAATGGTCATCAAGTCAGTCACTGCCAATGAGCTCTCATGAGTATGATCCCTCAGTAAGAGGCAATGGTTCCTGCCAGTGACATCACACTCCCGGTGTATCTCTCCCTTGTGTCTCATACTTGGTCACAAGCCTTAATACATAGTTAGAATCCACAATGCTACCTACTGGAGAAATTCAAGTCATGTCCCTGCTATGTTGTGACTATGATGACCACATTTTATTGTGGATGTAGTAACTGATTCTTTTTGTTATCTACAGGGAAGTTTTATCAGAGTCAGACCTTCGGGACCAAGAAGAAGTCAAAGCCTTGGAATGATTTGATTGACATTTGGTAGCAAGTGACTGACGTGATCACCCTTAAAGCAAGTTATGCTTACATCACGATCAGTAGGTAAAAGGTGTGCAGATTTCCAAGAATTTGACAATTACTGAACATTCATGTTAAAATAGACTAAAATAAAATTTCATATTTCAGACAGGTGGGTTTTGTCAGTTATTGAACATTTGTGTCTATTTTATTTATTGTGTTTGACATCATACCATAATCATCTTTCTCATCTTAATCATCCCAAACTCCTGGTTTTTGTCTCACTTGAAGGGTGTTTCCACAATGTATATATTTTGTTTGTATTATGAACATTCAATAAACAAGAATGAAGGCTCTAAGTGACCCCTGACTTGGGTACTATCTGCAAAAATAATAAAGGATGAAAAAGCATTCTTAAAATCTTAAAGCCTTCTCTTAAAAATATCCCTTTTCCAAAATTTGGCTTATCCTATTTGTAGATTAGGTCCAAAGCCAGAGCTGAGTTGCTACTGGGTCTATGAGCAATGGGCTTAGCTGTCTGTGTTGTATACACAGCTGCACAATCCTACTGACAACCCACCTCTGGCATATACTGGACAGCAGACAGCTAAGGATTTGTTCCTTCAGCATGTCAGGAATAGAAGGTATCCTGTCACAGTGAAGTATTTCTCACACAAGTGGCTATCTTAGAGACTGACAGGTTCTCAAAGCCTGAAGTTTTAAATCATATAACTAATACCTTTTTCTACGATTATCGGGGATTCTTTCATTGCCAAAAGGAAAACAATATACTTCACAGGCCAACTGCTAGTTTACCCCAGGATTATAATTCTCTATATAAACATATTACAAGTTAAGCAGCTGTCTTAGGTAGGGTTTTACTGCTGTGAACAGACACCATGACCAAGGCAACTCTTATAAAGAACAACATTTAACTGGGGCTGGCTTACAGATTCAGAGGTTCAGTTCATTATCATCAAGGCAGGAACAGGGAAGCATCCAGGCAGGCATAGCTCAGAAGGAGCTGAGAGTTCTACATCTTCATCTGAAGGCTGTTAGCGGAATACTGGTTTGCAGGTAACTAGGATGAGGGTCTTAAATCCCACACCCACAGTGACACACTTACTCCAACAAGGCCACACCTTCTAATAGTGCCACTCCCTGAGCCGAGCATATACAAACCACCACAGCAGCCATCATACAAAAACCTAAAATCAGAAAGGAGTCGAGTATCCCACAGTCCAAAGTGCTTTGAGTGCTGGTATGCCATCAAGTAGAAAAATGTGTCTTCAGTGGACCTGAATAAACGCAGACACACTAGAAGTATTGTAGAAGGTGTTAAGGAGATGGCTCTGTGGCCATATGTTTGGATCTCCAGCATCTCCATAAAAAGTGGACATACAGTGTCAGCACCTGCAATCCCAGACTCGGAGGCAGAGACTGGAGCATCTGTAGAGGTGAGATGGCTCTCAGTAGCCCATAGATCTAGCCAATTGGTGAGCTCCAAATTTAGCAGAGACATAGTCTCAAAAAATGATATGGAGAGTAAAATAAGAAATGGGGGAAGACACCCAATGTCAGCATCTGGCCTCCATACGTCAGAAACACACACACACACGTGCATGCATACATGTACTACACATATAAAACACAGAAATTATATTACAGAACATTACTTTCAGACTGTGTTATACGATGTATAGGAAACAATTCTGAGTTTGAAATTGGATCCTATCACCAAGACATCTCATTATATGTGTGAATATTCCAAAATGCAAAACATGCATTCTAACTGGTTTCTTAATTAGCCTGGAGCTCATCAAGCTGTAGAATGAATCTTGGGCCAAGAATCTTGAAATTTTACCACGAAAAATTACGCATTATGAGTTCTCTTGTCAACTAGCCCTCCCACAAGTGACACATGCCTGCGTTGCCAGGAATAACAGGTAGTTGTTACTACAATAGTACCGCTTAACGAAGAGTTCTAAAGCAATCTTTAGGGCTCATACAAAGGTCTGCTGAGGCTCTGACTGATCTGATTCCAGGCCACTTGGAGCACTCTGTCAAAGGACTGAGGCAGCCTGCCTTACATACCACCCCCTTGAGGACATTCATGGACCAGTAGGATATCTGAGGCATGCTCCTCTCAGAGAGTCAGATGATGAAAGAGAATAAATAGAACAGGAAAGGGTTTTTCTTCTGTAGGCTCAAAGTCCTGGTTCATTCCATTGATTAATCAACTCTCGTGGCTTAGGGAAACATTCTACCTTTTTAGTAAAGAGGACGCTATTAGCATAATGGAGGATATGTATCGTGGGAGGCGGGAAGTATTGGGGTCAATATTGTAAGCCACTACACTCAGTTAATTGCACATGCTAACAAAACTCCAATATGGACTGAGGTCGGAGTATCAAAGGGAGAATTGAAGACACAATTATTTGAAACAATGTGGTAGTTTCATAAGTGATCCTGTAATATTATAAATAAATTATTTAAGCTCACATTAAGTCAAATATAACTGCATATTTTCATAATACGTCTTGACAGACCATCACAAAATTGTTAAGGCAATTATTAATGCCATCAAGAAACATAAGGAACAAAATGACTTGCCAATGTCCACACAGACACCAAAGAAATGTAGCATTTCCAGCAGAACATCCGGTGCCACTTCAGTGTCCCACCACAAACAACGGTTGCTTCACTGGGGTGACATTGTAGAAAGAATGGTTGGTGTGGGATATTCTTACCAGAACACAGGAAAGGGTTACCAGTCCCCACCCGTGGGTGCTGAAGCCCTGCAACAGCATAGCTTCTGCTATTTTCCCAGCTGGAGCTGAGACTTTCCTATTCTTGCTTTATCTCATTTTATCTCAGGCCCGTTTAGACCACGGAAGCCTCACTGCTTCATTTCTAAAAGATTCATTTGCATTTTATGTGTTGTGGGTGTTTTCCCTGTATGTGTGTATTCATATTCACCACATGTGAGTCTGATGCCTCTGGGCCAGAAGGCAGGAGATCCCCTGGAACTGGAATTACAGCGGAGCTACTACCCGGTGCTGGGATTGAACCCAGTCCTATGCAAGAGTAACGACTGCTCTTAACCACTGACCCACCTCTCAGGCCCCTTCTCTGCTTTTCTGACTACTCTGATGAAAAGCTAGATAAACAGGAAAACAGAAGCAAACTGGGACTGCAATCCAAAGGCTGTAACCGAGATATGGTTTCTGCTATGCTTCATAATACCATAGTGTACCAGAAAGGGCAAAGAACTCTTAGCTTTCTACCTAATAGATTTTTGATAGGAGACAGGCACTACTGTGTGAATGTATTTGAGAACACAAATGTAAACACAACCACTGTGGGAGTGTAAAGGGGAGCATACACTTTGGTTAGTTATGAAAGCTTTTGTAAGAGAGAATAGGATCAGAAGTCATCTTTCTGCGCACCAAAAGCTGAACTCCACTAAGCCACTCCCGTCTCCCAATTTGTGTCCTACACAAAGTAAAGTGGCTTTCTGGTTGAGATCTGGAATACTCTAGCTTCTGCTAGAGGTCTCCCTCAGGCCAAGTCTGAAATACCTCTATTCAGTAGACACACTGCCTGTCTGAGAATCTGTTTCTCCCTCGCTCAAGTTCTTTCCCAGGTGGTGTGAAGTTTACTGTGGTGTAAGTAGGGGTTTTGCTACTTTTGGCCCAGTTGAGCTGGGTAGTGATGAGGCCAAGAGGTGATACTGTTTGAAGGTACAGTACCCGCTTTCCACCTTCAGGGAGTTCAGAAACTAGTGGGATTTTTCTCTTAGGCAAACTCAGAATCTCCCTGGGCGGCTCTTTGCAAAGAGCGGCCCCTTCCGTTGGCTACTCCCCCTGAGTTAGCAGTTTCTGGAGCCTGGAGCACTAGACATTGGAGGCGGGCCAGCCCAAGGGGCTGCCTTTCCCGCAGTGACGTCCCAGGGGGTGGAGGGGCAACCATCGACTCTGAGCCCTCCCGAACTCCGCCCAGTGCGGGGTCTGTGGATCCTTGGGAGATGCAGGCTGCCTTGGTTGCAGTTGCCCAAGCGCAGCTGCCTACTTGCCAACTTCTCTGCCTTGGTCCCGGGGTGTCGGGAGGCACTGGAGTCCAACCATGCAGCCGGGAGCAGCGCTGCAGGCCATGTTGCTGGCGGTGCTGCTGGCCAAACCGAGGGATTCGAAGGGTCGCCTGCTGAGCGGTGAGTGTGCGTCCTGAGTAGAGGGCTGGTGCTTGGGCACCTGGGGTTGATGACCAGTAAACCTCAGCAATTGAGGACTGTCTTCAGGACCACTGCACCCCTTCTCTGGCCCTTTGCGTAGTGGGACAATCCCCAGATCCACCCTGGGACACAATCAGCCTTCCTGAGTTCTCTGCTTCCAGGGAGCAAAAAACGCAACCAGATCCCGTTCCTGTGTCCACCCTGGGTATCCTGCAACGCTGGGAGTCTGTTCTCTCCCCGGGGTTACCAAGGGGTGAAGAGGATGTAGCTTGGGTGGGGCAGTTGGCAAACTTCTTCCAGTGAGTGCCCCTTGAGCACCATGCTGTCTAGACCCTTGTAGTGGAGGCAGACAATCCTGGATCCGCAGGGCTATGGTAACAGTACCTGTTACTCTCCTCTGAGGGGAGGGTGGCTGGCCTGGAAGTGCCTGGAGATTGGGAAAGCACCTAGTTAGTGCGGGACCAGCCCTGCCAGGCTCCAAGAATGACTCTCTGCTTCCTTCCCTGTGTGTGTGTGTGTATGTGTGTCACTGCAGCCTCGGACTTGGACCCCAGAGGAGGTACAGTGCTCCGACTTCTTTCTCCTTCCACTAGGTCTGCATGTGGGGTCGGGGTGGGAGTGAAGGTCGGATAGTATCTTTTTATCAGGTTCCCTTTGGCCAAGAGGGATGGAGGAGAATGAGAATCTCCACTGTATTCTAGTGTGTGGGTCTGATTTAAGAAATCTAACTTTGGTTTCAGGATAGGGGGAGGGAGATGTGGTTGGCTCAGCAGAGGAGCTGCCCAGAGCTGCTCAGGGGTGGGGGTGGGGGGTTTAGGGCTGCAGGGCACTTGGTGACAGGAGACCTCCTGCCTGCCCTTCCCCTTCCTGCAAATGAGAAAAGAAAGAGACTTCCTGAAGGCAGGGAACCAGATGGGTCCTGGGCCTCCTTCCAGCTCCAGTACTCCCTAGAACTCACTAGCATACACTAGACATATGCAGCCAGCCTGGACCATACAGGAAACTCTGTCAAGGTGTTAAGCTTTCTCTTGGCAGTCTGGCCTGGAAAGGCGGACCACTAGTAAAAGCAACTCCAGCTTCTGTTGTGCCAGGTTTGGGGAGACTTGGGGCACTTTGTTATCCTCCAATGCCTGTGTTCTCCTCTCTGGAACACTTCCCTGGTGAGAAGCCCAGCTTCTGAGCACTTCTCACCCCCCTGGGAGCCTGTCCTGTTACAAATCTCTTCTTCTGCAAGCTTCTAACAGCTTCTTCTACAAGGGAGGCGACACAGGATGCTCCCAGATCCTTGCCCACTGAGAATTTATCAAAGCATGGAGTTTGGGGGAGAATCTTGTATTGCTCCTTCAAAGTCAGCACTGTCTGTGGCCTTTTGGCTTGTTTGCTGGACAGTTATTGGACATAATAAACATTGTCTGTCTTTCTACAGAGCTGAAATACATGTTGGGGAAATTAAAACATTGCCAGAATGTCTGGCAATAAAAAATCATTTATGCCTTCCTCCATGGCAGTAATTCACACCTGTAACCTGAAGTTTGGGTCTTTTATTACAGGAACTTGTCTCCTTGTTGAAATTTGGTTTTTTATTTTGGACCCTAAGATCCAGAATCATGCTGCGGGCTCCTGTGGGTTAGGAACTGGCATTTCTGTATTCTCAATACCTAGCAGACCGGTCAAAGGGGATTTACCCAATAAATGCTGACTGAACAGCAGGGTGACTGGGATGGGTTTCGACTCCAGCAAGACTCCAGTCATCCAGAACACAAGCTGTGTGAACAGCTTACTACTTGCTGCTATCACCCATTTTTCTGAACAGTCTTCAGTCCATCAAGTGTCAATCAAATGAGAGATGGGCTCCCAGCACACTGGGCCTGTCGAGGAGTGGGGAACATCAAAACAGTTCAGTGATTCTGGTAGGACTCTATACCCAGATCTGGATTCTGCCTGTGCCAATGCTTCCAACAGCTTATGACAAATCGCCTTCCATGACTTCAGTTTTCTCACTTATAAAGTGAGGCATAAGCAGTTCTGACACAGAAGACTGTTATGAGGGCCAAAGGAAATTATAAAACCTTTACCACAGCTAATGGGACATGGAAAAAGTTGAGTAAACTCTAGCTATTGTCTTTAGGTCAGAGACCTGATTACCAGCAGCAGAAAAACCCATGAATGCTCTTAGCTTCTGCTCACACCAGAGATGAGCAAGTTAGTTCTACTGCATAGACAGGGGACTTCAGGGTAGTGGAATCTACTACTGACTTCAGAATGTCCCTCTACACTGAAGGAAGCACTTCACAGCAACACTTATTCTAAGCCCCATAATTCCATGAGACTCCCTAAGACCACGAATGTCTTATTTATACGCATCAAGTAAAGCTGTAAATATTTACCTACTCTTTTTATAAAATATAGAAACATCTTCATCAATCTGCACTGAGACAAAAAAACACGGATCCCCTATATAATACAGGCACCATCGTGTAGAATCACTTTAACTTTGTGTTGCAAAGAGTACTAATTTTCTCTAGAAAGCCGGAGTGGTTAACAGTCCACAGATGGACAATCTGAATTCCTGCCCAGAGACAGCTTCATTGAGATGTTGCTAAGTACATCTGCTGTGGTATACTTTCATGGGGTACTGAAACACGTTGCTTTCTCTTTTCCCCACACTCCCTCTCTCTAGGGCAGCTGGTCTGCCGGGGAGGGACAAGGAGGCCTTGCTATAAAGTCATTTATTTCCATGATGCCTTTCAAAGACTGAGCTTTGAGGAAGCCAGAGAAGCCTGCATGGAGGACGGGGGACAGCTGGTCAGCATCGAAACAGAGGATGAGCAGAGGCTGATAGAAAAGTTCATTGAAAACCTCCTGGCATCTGATGGTGATTTCTGGATTGGCCTCAAGAGGCTGGAGGAGAAACAGAACAACAATACAGCCTGCCAGGACCTTTATGCTTGGACAGATGGAAGCACGTCACAGTTCAGGTAAGCATGTGAATCCCACAGCACTGATTCCCTTGACATAGCTCAGAAAAGAGACAAGCAGGACCCATGGTGTCAGAATCATGAGAAGGTCCAGGCAGAGCCGTAGTGGCAGTTCCAACAGAATGACCACCAACCAGAGCAGTGTGACAAAGGTGGCAAACTCAGCCTTGAGTTGGGCCCAGAGTGCCCTGTTCAAGTGGGTGATGCCCAACGGAATGTTTTTCAATAGCATGCCATGCTTGAGGGTCTGTGGTTCTGGCTCTCTGACCCTTGGAGATAAGACTGTATTGAGAAACTAAAAGTACATAAAGATGGGACCAGGGAAGGACTCCAGACTACGGGGAATAGTGATCAATGGCAAAAAGAAAAAGAAAAAAGAAAACCCAGTATCTTACTCTGTGGACTGACCAAGGGTAGAGACTGAAGTAAAGCTCACAGTAATTTCTGCTTGTCTGATTTTGCTTGGCAAATGTACCCATGAACCAAGCCTGAGCTGACTGTATCAACCAGTCACAAGGACTCTTCCATGCACTGGGGTTTGAGCTGAGGAAGAAGTGGAAGAAGCTCAGCTGTGAGACATGCCTAAGCCTAGACCAGCCTTGAAGTCCCTTTCTGCTCTTAATCCCACTCAGAAGTGGCCATCTGTCATGTAAACCACAGTAATGCTCTCAGGTGAGAAACATGAAACCTCTGGAACCCAGAGAGACCGGCCAAGTGCTATGCTTCCTTTAAATTATTGTATGATATAATAGTTTGCTATTTAATTTGAAAGGGACTTTCTGGTATTCTCCAGATCACTAGATACCCATACAATCCAAAGAAATGATAGGTCCTGACCATTCACAGGGTTTTCTCCAGCCTTCTAGAATGCATGAGCATTACTAAGGTCTCCAATATATCATCCTTTTTTAAAATTCTTTCTTGCTCATCTGGTGCAGCTGGCACACTATTCAGCAGTATAATGGACTAGTGTGATTTTCTTCACAATTCATAAGAAATCCAGGTATTATAACTAGGTGTGAAGGAAAAAATCAAAATAAGGCAAAACTATAAGTGTATTCTGTTATCCATTCCCAAGGACTATGAGCTGTTCCAGGGCCTCTTGAATCTGGTAACCAGATCTGCATACATCTCAAGCAAGGATATCACACATAGAACAGCAGCCACATTTAGAGCTCTGCAGGGTTGAATGTGTGTTCCTCTTATGAAAGCCTTTGGGATCTGCCTGGGGTTTCCAGGAGTCAGACAATGAACTCAGCAGAGGTCTGATGGGAGGCACCACTCTACATTAGTCAGGCCTTTGACACCACCGCTTCCTGCTGTCTATCTCTGGACACAATGCTGTTGGTGGGGGGAACTCATCTCAGAGGTTTATGCTTGGCATTCTGCACTATGCTAGCTTAAGAAGCCAATGCAGAACTATACCAGCTACTAAACAGGTCTATTCAGGAGCCCTGGGTTCCATCCCCAGCAACCTCTAAAAATAGGACAATGGAGACACACAGACCTATAACAGGATCCTTCTTCCTCCAGAGGTAGAAGCTAGAAGATCCAGAGGTTGAAGCTAGAAGCTTCAAGTTCATGTTTGGCTTCAGCTGGCTAAAGGACCAACTGGATGGACTACATAGCCTCAGTCTCACAACAACAAACGAAAAAATTAGAGCCGATTCACACATTTTAGAACTGGGCCAATGACTACTGGTTATGTCTCAGTGTGAACTGACTGGTTAAATACCTTGCCCCATTCTGATGCATGGCTTTGAGGACACCAAAGTCCATTCATACCCCATGGTTAACAATTCTAGCAATATTTAGACATACCCCTTTCACAGGTCTATGATTAGTTAGATTGCTCCCCAAAAGTCCTTCTGGGAAAAGAACAGAGGTATTTCTTATCATAGGCACCTGGCACACATAACATTGTAGGATTTTCTTCCTAGGTATCTGGCCTCTGCCTTTATCTGTGAATTGTAAGTCTGAAAATGGGCTCAAATCCAAAAATACTATTCTAAGAATCAGTAAATTCTCTATCAGATGAAGCCACATAAATCCATAAAGCTGTAGGGAGGGCCAGTTGGGCTGCAGGTAACTGATGAGACACAAGCCCGGTTTCTACCAAGAGCCCCTAGATGCTCTGGCATAATATCCATAGTTTTATTGTAAACTCCGTTGTCGTTTAAGAAGCTCATTCAACATAGTAGGTGCAACAAAGGATCTTCATTTTGGCAGACTGCAACAAGGACCACAGCAGAGTCATATGGGGTACTACCAGAAGATATGTCTCTTAGCTGACTCTCCTGAGGAGAGTCTTGGGAAGACATAGGCAGAGCTGCACTATCTAGATAGTCTGACAAGTGGAACAAGATCCTAGCTCTGGGGAGAGCAGACTGGGTACTTAGGAAGCCAACAAAGCCCAACCCTCAGTCCGCAGGTGAGGTAAATACTTGCAAACTTAGATTCACTCAGACTACTGGATCATAAAGCTAAAGCTGCAGTGGACCTTTTCAAAGAGTTAAAGGGGCAAAAGAAAGATACCTCATAGTGGACACAAAGGGGCTTGTTTCCTTGATCCTGTGTGTGTACATTGAAAACTAACAAAAACCAAGATGCCCCCTCTCCCCTTCCCCAGCCCCTCTCCTACTTTGGCAGCCTCTATATTTTGGAGTATCTCCCTCAGATTCTCCATCTTCTCACCACTCATCTGGGGCTGGTGTGGCAGAGGTAGATTGGAAAGCAGCTAGACGGAGACAGGGCCAGCTTAGAGCGACGTACGCCATCTCTCTCCTCAGTATGTCCAATCTCTGTAAAAACAGAAAAAAAAAAGCCTAACTAGTATAAAGCCAAAAAAGAAGAAGGCACACATTAAGATCTTCCGCCTAGCTCTGTGCTAGCTGCTATTCCTCATAATCATTTTGCAGACCTAAGAACATAATACATTCTTCCCTGCAAAGAAGTTGTGGCAAATGTCAGATGATTGATTGCGACAGCCACACGGGGTCAACAGCATGTGTCTGTCCTTGTTGTCAGTGCTTCAGTTCCTCCATCTCTCCGTATCATGTTCAGAAGCAGAGCCTGACATCTATGGTTCAATGAAACCTGATGAGAAAAAGCAAAAGGGCATGCAAGGCTTATGGTGTGTTTCTCCAGTGGTCTCTGTTGTCCGTGCTTTTCTTTCAGGAACTGGTATGTGGACGAGCCTTCCTGTGGCAGCGAGGTCTGCGTGGTCATGTACCATCAGCCATCAGCTCCGCCGGGCATCGGGGGCTCATACATGTTCCAGTGGAATGACGACCGGTGCAACATGAAGAACAATTTCATTTGCAAGTATTCAGACGGTAATGACTCTTTTCCCCAACTAGATGGCTAATTTCCCACCTCTTTCCCCATTTCATAAACAGCTGCTGATATCAAGAACATATTCTATACTCACTGAGGAAGCCTGTTGTTCCAAATGCCAGAACGTTAAACTGAGAATTCTTGTAAATGGAAACATAATGACACTTCTTCACTTAGAAATAGTTCTAGCAAAGGAGAGGCTATCAGATGCAAAAGAAGGCTGAGAAAGGAAAGGATCTAATTGAGTTAGGATAAGAAGCAAGACTTGCTGGGCAGTGGTGGTGCATGCCTTTAATTCCAGCACTTGGGAGGCAGAGGCAGGTGGATTTCTGAGTTCAAGGCCAGCCTGGTCTACAGAGTGAGTTCCAGGACAGCCAGAGCTACACAGAGAAACCCTGTCTAGAAAAACAAAAAAGAAAAGGAGGAGGAGGAGGAGGAGGAAGAGGAGAAGAAGAAGAAGAAGAAGAAGAAGAAGAAGAAGAAGAAGAAGAAGAAGAAGAAGAAGAAGAA